GCCAGCGGCGGGTCCGTCTTGGAGCCAGCTGGCATTGGCTCTATCGGGCATAGGGGAACCTTCTAACAGCTTCTCACAGAAGCCACCCCTGTAGCCCCCCCGCTACCAAAACTCGGCCACGCAAGCCCAATACAACCTTATATGATATGTCAGTTATAATTGACAGTTGTGATAGACACAATACTTCTCTTCCAGTTCTGGAAACAGTAACAATATATACATACCCCATCTCTTAACGGGTTTGTGATTCTGTAAAGTTGGCCTATATCTTTTCACCTTCTTGTGTTATTGCCTTAGGATGAAGATTACATGCAATCATATAACGAGCAAGCAATGGAAGAACAAGAAGAATATACAGCTGATGAGGACCTGGAAGAATCCCAGACAATAACAAATGAATCAGAAGAGGTATGTTGTGAATTTAATTGGAACTTAAAATAACTAGTTGTTTCAGAATTTGAATTTGTAGAATTGTCCATATTGCTGGGTAAGAACTGATGCAACTTTGCCAATGTTGAATTATTGGTGGTATTACTCTTTGTATAAGACGAATTGTGATAGCATCTATATTGTCAGATACATCAGATCCCCTCTTCCCCTTGGGATGAAAATCATAAGGGAGAGCTCAAAATGTCCATATTTCATCTTAGCTTCAATGTTAGAAACTTCAGGGACCCTTTTGAGTAGAAGAATGATAGTAATACTGCATGCTGTCTGTTAAATCTCTAATAGCTATGGTGCCTCACTTTCCAGATGGATAATGTGCTGCTGTTGGGAGTGTAGATACAGTTCTTGGGTATCCCACTTTGAGGAGGAGCGTGAGGTTCTGTATGTTAGAAAGGGAAAGGTCAGATTGTTGTTTGAAAGAAGTTGTATTGGGACTGAAATTTCGGTGAAACTTATCTTAATTCTTCAATTAGGAAAAAGGTTGAGTTGCTTCATTTGCAAGAAGAAGGGTTATGCTAAAAACTGTCAAGTATATGTTCACTGGTTATAGCCTGGAACAATGGTATCATACCTGTTATTAATTTGCAGCAAGTTTTTGATGTGGGATTTTTTTTCTTTCCTCACCAGTAATCTGCTTTAATATTACTTTTATTCCGGTTCTTAATTAAATAGGATTGAATGGATTACCTGCTGAGAAGTGTAGTCAGAGTGTGTTCCCTCTTCGGAGCTTTAACTCATCAGGAAATTAATTCCTCAAAGACACAGCAGTGTTCTTCTGTGAAGTTCTAACAAATGGGTGTGCTGTGATATTCTGTAGTTGTATCAAACTTGTTATAATAAAACAACATTCTTTGGTGGGTGAAGAGAGATGCATTGAAAGGGGTCACCTGTGTTGTTCAGTCTTCGCTGTTGCAAGCATGACATCTTACACCAAATATACCTTAAATGTGGTTAATTTCCTATTTCCTAAGTATTAAATCTACCCTTCCAAAGAACTGTGAAACACTTCAACACTTTTTGTTCATTCACTGGATTACATACACTTTTCTTCTGGTGTTTTAAAAGCAGCCTGATGCATTTGTGCTATCTGCAGCCACAGTCTGTATGGATGATGAAAGCACTGCACATCATGTAAAATTAAGTACATAGCTGGGATTCTGTCAAACTTACTGCTTTAAAAAAGCACAGCTTCACTTTTAGAGTATGAACTAGTGAGAATTCTGTAATAATCATGTTGTCTAAATTTGTCCAATTCAGAATTAAATTCCTTTCATTCAAAAGATACCATTAATGCAAGTTTTTAATTGATTTTGTTAATAGAGCTTTTAGAGAATTTGTTCATCATGTAATGTCAACATTTTGGCCACATTTTTATTCAGTTAATCTACATTCTGGCTTTATTCTGATGGCTTACAGATTGCCACAGGTTTCTTGTTTCCAAGATAGATAGTGCCATCTTTTTATTCCTTTATTATTTCATATGTAGCTTATTTACATTTGTCTGTAGGCTCACAATTGCACTCTCCAAATGAGAATACCACCAAGAGAGATAACCTTTGTAGAGTATGCACCTCTGTTTATTACATGGTTAGATGCATGCCTCCAGCTCTGAATAGTTTTGTTCTTTGAGTATTATATTTAAATCTCATAACATTCACTGCTTGTAAACAAGGGTAATTGTTGGCATTCTCCTGTAGAAAATGCAACACAAGAATGGAGCTGTAATAGATGCGGTACAAATAAATGGTATTATTATTTCTTGATTGAAAGTTGGCATCTGAATAACTGAGAGCGAACTGATAGAGATAAGTGTTTGCTAGTGTTGTATTTTAAGCAGTTTCCACATTAAAACCAAATAAAGCCTCTTATTATATTGCATGAAGAAATTTTGTAAACCAAGAGAAAAGCTGACTGGCTGGAGAATTGGAATATGATGGCGGGGGGAACTGGAAGTAAGAGACCTGTTAAGAATAGCACTCGGGTGGGACATGTAGGGAAGAGGCAGGAAAAGTTTGTGTCCTTGGCCAGATCAGGTTCAAGGCATGCTTTTTCACTTGATATTTAATTTGAAGAAGTGCTTAGAACTTGGATTTTGAATAAATAACACTCTTTTTTGAGCTTCCTTGGAAAATGTAGCAATGCTCCAGAAAGTATTTTTGCCTTCCTAAGGTACAAAGCAAAACCCAATACCCAGAAGTTTCAGCAGCAAATAAGTGTGGTAAAACTGTCAGTTACATGAGTTACCATGTCCTAAATATTTTTAGAGTAATAATATCACTGATTATTTCTATAAAATGTTCATAAAAATGTAACCTCCTAAAATTAGAATTCATAATTTCTTTGTTTTATATTAGAACTAATCTCCTGTGAAGTCTATGATAAGGGGTTTCTCATTGCATAAATTTAAACCATGTCTTGGGTTATGCTGATAAGAAATGATGAGGACTTTAATCAAGAAGACATTTCACGAAGAAATGCTGTGTACTGCTTTTCTGCTTTTCTTTTGATAGAATACAGACTTAGGGAAAAAAAGGCCAATGCGTCTGTCTGTTGAATTGTTTCATCTGTATTTAGCCAAAACTTAGGCATTTTAGTTCTTTTGTTCGAGTTTGAAGACACTACCTGTCAGCCTGGAGTAAAATGATGAAAAGAGTGCAAATCAAAACAGCCAAGTTTTAAACATATTTAGAAGCTGTTAAGTTTGTTTTTTATTCCCATTTTTCATCTGTGAAGTGGAGGTGCCCTTGGAATAGGTGTAACATCCTCTTATTTATTATCCTCTGTTATTTCTTGATCCCTTAGGATTGAGCAATTGCTGCTGCTTCAGTATTAACCTCTGGTAGAAGCCTCCACTGCTTATTTTCTAGCTAGTTAATAAAGTTATTTGTTTTGCCTTCATAATGTTTCACATGGAAGGGATCTGGTTTAGCCTTTACAATGCTTACCTCTTCTGCACATCTTAGCACTCTGGCATGAAGCTCTCCAGAGCACTTGACAGTCCCATGTTCAGGAGGATCCTGTGCTAAGATCAGTGTTTATCATGCTGACTAGTGTTTTCTCCTGCTTTCCTTGGGCTATGTCTGTTATCAGTCCTGCAACTGCGTGGCAAGCTGTTTGGAGCAGGAGCACTCACTCTTGCTCCATAGTAGATCATAACCCAGTGTGGGGAGTTCTGGTCAGTGACTGGGATTTATGGCGTAATTATTTAATGAGGATGGCAGAAAACTCTGACCTTGTGATAGAAGCAAGGTCATTATTTTTCTTCATAAGGCAGAGTCAGCAAAGCTCTTCGGTAGCTTTGTGCAAGGTGTCATAATGGGAAATGTTAAGCTCCCTTTGAGGAGAGCTGCTAAGAAGCCTTGGCTGGCTAGTCCAGTCAGGTGACCTCAAGTGGCTGTTCAAGGACTGTTTATGTATATTCAGAGATATTAATGTGTTAAATAGTATTCAAGTATTAAATAGAATTCTATAAGTACTAGTATGTATTAATTCTGTGTCTGCACTTGTGTCTTTTCCTATATAAATTTATTTTGAAACATAGAATCCATTCATATACTCTAATCTTGGCAAAACAACTTGTCCTGTTAGGCTGGAAGTTGGAAAAGATGAGCTAAAGAAGTCTTGCATGCTACAACTATTGAACAAATTGTGGGGTAAGGGTGTATGCTCCTACACAGCTCAGATAACCTTTCCTGGAGCTATATGTAGAGAACATATGGTTGGCTGTCAGACATGTTTGTGTCTCCATCGCAACTAATACAAATCCCTCAATAATACGTGTAATCAGACTTGGACATGGGTCAGTTAGCATTCTCGAGCACTGCCTTTCCTTGGTGCCTGCTTTTTCATTAGCTCCTTTGATTTTTTTTTTTTGTCTTTGATATTTAACGCTTGTACAGCTGTTGTTTGTTAATAGGTGGCATGAGCATTATACTGATGAATAAAGTGAGTTAGACCCAGAAGACTAGAGAATTGGTATAAGTGGCTAAGAATAGAATAGTGCTGGTCTAGAAATGTTTTTTATTGTTGCATAGGAAAGTAGTTGCCTTGTAGTCTGTTACAGCTTGCTTTTTTTTTTAGAACGGATTTTTTTTTTCCCCCCAGAATTAGTAATTATCAAAAGGCAACAGAGTTTCCGCAGGTGTTTTCTGTAGCATTGCATTAAAGCATTGCAAAATTTTTCAGGACAATGCAGACTGTATTAACCATTCTAGTCCTGATTCTGCAGTCTAGACTGCATTAACCATTCTAGTCCTGATTCTGCAGTCTGAGCCACACGTAGAGCCTTGCATGAATAAGTTTTGCACTCACAGATGAGATTACGTGACTGAGACCAGTCTTCAATGAATAAAAACTGGAATTCCAACGTAGCTTTTAAGGGGCATGGACATAAAGAGTGGATGTGTCTGGGGTTCATGCTGTAAAGTAAAGCAGGAGGCTCAGTGTAGTGAGAGAGCATGTCTCGCAAAACAGGCACTCCAGTTCTGACTTTCAGATCCTGATCCTGAAGGGAAAGTTTTTAAAGACAACATTGGGACAGTAAAATTACAGGTTTTATGATATTTAAATAACATAGATTTGATAGAGATATCGCTACTCCTTTCTCTTTTGGGAGTCCCTCTTTTGAAAGTAAAATGCTAACCCTGTCTTTCTCCCTTATTTTTGTTTGTTTTTATTAAACCACCTTAGTATCTCTTTCCTTGCTAACATCCCTCCTCTGTTCCATGAGTCTCAACTGCCTGTCCTCAGAGGTGCTTTGATTATACATTGTTATGTTAATCAGACCAGTTGTGCTCAATTTGGGTTTGCTTTTGAGGTTTGGATTTCTTTCAGTCTTGGAGGATTTTTTTTTTTTGCCTGCTATCCTGTCTGTTGTTTTTAGCCGCATTTTTTGATATGGTAAAGTTGTTACATAAAAGTTAATATATTTTTAAAATACGTGCCATAAAGCTTTTTGTAAACTTTGGCTATTCTCTTAGCTATATCAGAGCATTTTTGTGAGGTCAGGAAATGTAGTGCTTGAATGTTTGCCTGGAATGGATAAAACACATTCTGAGATAAGGAGATAATAAAATGAAAATAACATGGGATCAGTAGCCCATTAAAGCCCAGTAACTAAGTATACAGATCACTTACTCACCAGACCAAAGTTGGAGAAGCTTTGAGCTTGAGTTCATATGGTGTGCTGTCTTTTAAAGTAGAAACTGCCTTGCCAGATCCTGTCTCTGATCTTGCTTCCCATGTTTCTTTTTGGTTTTGGATGAAGTTGGGCTGCTGGATAAGGAAATTTGCAATCTCTTGCACCATTCTGCCAGTAATTCTTTTCCTTGATTTGTGACTTAGTATCTGTCTACCTGACTGACACACTTGCTGGGCCTTTTTCCTATAAATTACTGCACCAATCTGGTTAATTAGAAGATTAAACCATTTTTTTGCATGTTATATTTCACTCATTTTTTAACTGTCCTCAAGCAACATAAAAGTTATGATGTATTTAGTGGCTTTGCAAAGAATTAAAATACATGTGCAGACTCTAAGAAATGAGCAAGTAGGCCTGTACAAGAAATAACCAAATACACAGTAACCAAATATTTTATGGAAAATTGTACTATATTAGAACATTTCTAATTTTCAACCCTAGAAATCAAATATAACTTGTGTAACATTCTGAACATTAATTTTATCATGCCAGCACAGGAAAATGAAATTGATTTTTTTTCCCTTTTTTTTTTTTAATTGAAGGAGTGTGATCCATTTTCATTTGGGACATTGTTTCATCTAAATGAATGTTCTCTGTTAGAGAGAACTGGCAAGTAAATGAGGACAAGGGAGTAGCATTCCAATATACAAATTTAGTATATTCAAATTTTATCCAATCCTGTTCTCCATTCTTTTCGTCAATTGCTGAATTAAATGTGGGAAGTACTGAAGGAGTAGAAAAAGTAAAGACAAGTACAGTTACACATACCTAGAGGAATAAAATTGAGATGTAAGGTTATCTGTTTTTTGTTGGGTTTTTTTAACAACATGCTACTGACAGTTGTTAACAAGTGAAAAAAAAAAATTAATGATTTAATGTTTGTATTACTTGAATCTGGTAGTATCCCTGGTTTGCATCTTGGTCAATTCAGTGATAAAATGTCACTCTGTGCAAAAGTAGCTACTAATCAGATGGTGGTTCTAACTGGAGTTTACATATTCCCTTAAATATTGCAGCAAAATGGGTTTTCTCAGTAGATTTTGTTTTATAATTTATTATAGAATTCATATCTTCATATTTAAAAAAAAATCACCAAACTCTTAAATGTTCACTATGCATGAGAATAATGTATAATGCCAGCAAAATTTGTACAATGGGACCGTTAAAGAAAACTTTGTCTTCTGATACTCGCTGATCATAAAAAAGTAGATTTTTCAGTTTGCATGTCCTTTGTATTTTGTGATTCAGGCAGGTATTGAGTCTCTGGAACTTCAAGAAGAAACAAAAGAAGAATCTGATGAAGAGGAGGACGATGACGAAGAGTCTGGACGATTACGTTTCAAAACTGAACGGAAAGAAGGAACGATAATTAGGCTCTCAGATGTGACAAGAGAAAGGAGAAACATTCCAGAAACTTTGGGTGAGGTTTTGTCGCAGTGGACTATAACAAAAGAAAGTAAAAGGCAGGCTTGCCAAAACTTCTAGAAGAGTTCAATGGTAAAACATAGAACAGTCGCCTTCTAACATTGACTGGCCTATATCCAAGTTGTCCAAAGTCATATGTAGTCTGTTGTAGTATGTGTAGTGTCTCTCTCCTTGGGAGTAATGTTTAAGCATATCATGTTTTGAAAACCAGCGCAACGTTTGTTCATTGAGACTTTTGTGGTGTCTTTAAAAGCTTTCCTGTTTTCAAGCAGCAGCTGTCTGATCTGTGCTTCACTACATATTGTGGTGGAATACATTTTAAGGAATTCCTTTTGGAACATTTTCAGTTGATAACACAAATCTTGTTACTTGTGTTCTGCTGTGAAATACCTTCATGTTTGCTGTTTTCCCCTAGGAACATAAGCGTGCTGTGAACCTGTTGCGTTCCTACTGTTGGATTGTCCTAGAGAAATTGTAACTTGCTGGGGAGTGTGTTAGAAAAATACGGAAACGTCTGTTTCCTGAGTTCAGCTTTTCTAACATGGAACAATCTGGATCTCTTATACCACCTTGATTCTTTAGGCAGTGTCTAAAAGGGTATATTTTCTTTGTATTTGAGTAGTATAACACGAGTGTGGTTGTTTCTAGGAATACTGCTCCATGTAGCTAATGAATTTGCCACTGCTAGTTCAGAAGAAGCAGTAGACTTGCAACTTTCTTGCAGCCGCTCTGTTTTAGTCTATAAATAAAATCACATTGGTTTATGGTTTTGAGAGTTAACTTCAAGACCCCTCATGTGCCCTGGGTACTCAAGTATCTGATACTGGTGTTGTACCTGTCCCACTGGGGATAACTATATTGCCTCTTCATGTTGGCCTTATGGTGGTGGTAATAATAATAAATAATCATAATAAAAATTCAAATTAAAAGGTGATATTAGGGAGATGGGCAGAAATTAAGTTTTGCCTTCAGAAAGATGTACCATTCTCATAGTTTTACTACTGAACCAAAATACCAATTCAAACTATGGAGAAAAAGCCCTGATCTTTTGAAGAGAATCAAGATATGCAAGAAAGGTGAACTGGTAATGAAGGCAAATTGTCAGGTACTGTTGGCTAATTGTCAGATACCACTGGGGGAAGATGTATTTTTTGATGATACTTCAAGTTTTGCCAGACTGTAGGGATGAATTCTTTACACAGGATTGCTTTAAGATGGGTGCCACACAGCGTGAGCTTGGTAGCTGGGTGCTTCTGCTTTCTTTTCAGATGAGTCAGAGTCTTTGGGACAACAGGGCATTTTGGAATTATGTTCTCAGAGCGCATACCTAGATTGCCTGACTTGTCCTGATGAAGTTTTCCTCTTGCCTTAAAAGACTTGGTTTGCAACAGATGTTAGTTCTAAGGATTTTTCTCTTGAGTTGCATAGCCTCCTAATTCTTTAATTCAGTTGCAAGGAATTTGGGCTTTTACTATGCCTGCAAATATTGGGAAGCCTTAATTCTATAACAGAGGTGTTGTGGCTAAGAGGACTTGTTCATGAGCAGCAAGGAGTGAGCTGCAAAGGCTGAACCAGACTTCACAGTGGTATTCATGTAGGCCATGTTGTGCTGTGGGTGAGACATCAGTGCATGATTTTGAATCAAGATCTTTCTGATCTGTTGTTCGTATTTAGCAAATAGCTCTTCTTACTTGCAATTTCAGGCAAAGTGTGTATTAAGGGCCTTTATTCAGCATTGTTTTAATAATCAGGAATTGATTCTGATTAGACTGAGGGGAACCCTCTAGAGGCACGGAGTGGTCTATATGGGCAAGGGGTATTTTAGCTGAGGTGCATTCCAAACGTGTTTTCAACTGTAAGACCATATTTCTACATACCACATACAGACCATATCTTATTTATACAAAAGGTGCTGGTGGCTTTACAAAACAGAACATTTTAAGAATAAGAGTGCACTGGAATAGCTAATTCTCTGCACATAATTGCAAGGTAGATGACAATTCCATGCATTTTCACATATCTGTGGATTTACTCTATAGTTTAATGTAAAGACAAGACCAGCCAATGAGGAGAGAACCTGTAGTGGAGCTTGACTGTTAAAGGAACAGTGATTCAAATTAGACATTTTTAAGTGTAATTTTAAGTGATTTGGGATGTAGCTCTGAGATACAAGGAAAAGATGATGCAAATGTGGATGAATTATAAACTGAAGAGCTTATTTTGAAACTAATCTCTGGCAAAAATACAATCTTGTTGTTATGAAATGGTTTCTATTCATACTAGTTTTTCATGTTAATTTGTTGATAAAGAGACACAATGATTGACCATGTGGTGGAAAGTTAAACAGCAAAAAATACTTGTTGTTTGCCTGTAAATATCTGCTTGCTTTTGAGATTATGGAGCAAACTTTCATAGATGCTACTGGTTTAAAAATGAAGCAAACTTTTACAGATGCTACTGGTTTAAAAATGAAACTTCATTGCAGATCTACATCTCCTTATTTTAAAATCTGAACATAGTTGAGAAAACACTTAAAGAGGAATTAACATTTCAGTTGAAGTTACAAACGTAATTTCTATCCTGTCACATTTTGGTGACCTTTTGTGACAGCTTGTCTCTATTGGAGGAGTGCATTCTTACTTGCTGATTAAAGATGTCATTTGAAACCATTTTATTACCAGTGATAGTGAAATTAATCTTGACACTTAGAGACACTAGAAGAATAATTGCCGATTCACTGCGTTAACTGAGTGTGTGAGAACTGTACAGTCAAGATGAGAATGTGTGTGTGCTGGTAAAAATATGTAAAAATAGAGAATATTCTCATGAATGTAGCTGAGATCTTTCGTAAACATTTCTTTATCCAAGATAATGTAAGTAGTGGTTTTGAAAAGTTTAAAGGAGAGGTGTTGTAGGACAACTATGCAATTGATTTCTAGAGATACTGAGTTTATCATCTTTGAGAAATATTTGACTTCTTTCAGTGCATGTAGTTGAAGTCTTCCCAGAGTTGGAGTTGTCATTGTGGTCTGGATTTAGTTACCCGTTAAGGAATGTGAAGAAAAATGACTTTGGCACCACCAAACTAAAGTATTCTCTCTGTACCTAATTTAAAAAACAAAACAAACCCCTACACTTATGCAGAGCCATTTGCAAAGTGATAACAAAAGTTATTGGATGTGGTAGTACTCTTTGTTATGTCCTGCTTAGTTGGCTTATGTTCACTCTGATAACTAGCGGCTGAGATTTTGGGCAAGACTAGGAAATTAAAATGAATGGTTTCACTGTTGTCCTGTTGCACTGTGCAGAAGCCCATGGTGTAATCAGGTTGCAAGTCTGGATGATGGGGAGAAAAAAAGTTAAAGGAGAACATTTGCTACCTCTCTCAATTTAGATTGCATATATATGTAAATGCATATGTATATATATATATTTTTTATAGCTGTTCTGGAATGTGATTTATGCTGTAAATTTCTGCATTATCCAGGATAATAGGGATTCTGGGATTTCAAACCTGGGGATTTGAAATGCTGTTGCTCTCAGGGAGCCACCCAAGGCAGATGTAGCCGCAGAGACCTGTGCTCGGGGTTGGTGTAGGCAGGAGCCGGTGGCTGTGTGCTGCAGCAGCCTGCACACACTGTCCAGGGGGCATGGCAGCATCCAGCCTGGCTCAGTGTGTTTTGGTCACAACACACACAAGCTCTTATCCAGGGAGAAGCAGTGGGCCTGTTCATGTGAATACCTGGCTGTGCTTTGGAAGAGTCTAGGGAGGGAAAGAGGATCTCTTCTTCCTCTGCTCGTCGCCTCTTTTCTAGTTAGCAGTCTGATCTTGCTTTCAGGGAAGACAGGGACTATTTTCCTTGCTCCCCTCCCTGCAAAACTGTCTTCCACACTATCTCCTCTCCTTGATCTCTGTGGCACAATGCTCTCAAATTTGATAAGCAGCCCACCTAATAATTGAGCTGACTCTGTATTTTGCTGCGTGGTGACTGATACCAATATAAAGCACTTGAGGTATTCATCAGTTTAGTTCACTGCATGAGTCTTCACTTTTGCAGTCTGTCTCTGAGGCTCTGAACCTGCAGTTTTGTGTGTAAGCAAAATTCTTCACAGGTAGGACACTGTTGCCTTCAGTGGCATGTTTTGGGGGAAGTATGCTTGATGTTAATGTAATCTTACTTTTTTTTTTTTAATAGTTATATTGTACTTCTGTGGTCACAGATGTGGTATGAATGTAATGATGCTTGCTGCAGTGAATTCCTGGGGGTTTTGGTTGGGATATTTTTTTCCAAGGTCAGTGTTATACACAGTTTCACTTTTCTGGCTGAAAAACTGAATATGTGGACTGTGTGTTTAAAGACACAGCCTTTAAAGTTTGAGAACTTGCGTGTAAAGTGAGTAGGAGAACAGCCTATTAGTTTTCATATTAAAGAGAGTGAAAAGTACCTGCACATCGAAGATCATCAGGACTGACTTTGCCCTGAATGCTGTCATCCCTTCCCCAAGCTTAATCAGCGCAACCCTCTGAAGTCATTTTGTTTGGAGCAGCCCATTCTTTCTTCTAAAGTTTTCTATTCAGTGTCCTTCGATATGTGCTCAAGAGACTGAGAGACTCAGACACAATCTTGCCTTGTAGGAAGCCTAGCTCTATTCCCCGGTTCATTAAGAATTGCTTTCCTCACATGTGACTTCTAATCTCTTTAATAGGAAATAGCTTTTTATCATCTTGAATGAGTATTAGCGGTAGGTACTTGTTGCAATGACTGAACTTTGCTTTCTGAACTACCTTGCTGAGTTCAGGGTTGTAGTGTGGAAGATGGCAGAAAAATTGCCCTGCCTGTCCTATTCTTGGAAAAAAAAGAAAACTTTCCAACAAGCAGCATGCCCAGGATGCCCTGCAGGATTTGGATCCTCTGTGGTTAAAGGGAGGAGAGCTGTTGCTTTACAATGTAATGGCACCGTTTCTTCCCATAAGTATATGGGAGCTAGTGGTCTTTCTTTCCTGCAGACCAACTAAAAGCCCATGTTAGCCCTTTCACACTTGCAAGCCTGTGAAGAAACTGAACTTGCTTCAAGTGTCGACAGGAAGGAGACTTGAAATCAGAGCTCTATTTTTCCTGTTAAACCAGCTTTTTTCATCCTTGACGGTTAAAGATGGATAAGGTGGTTGTTTTTGTCACATCTAATGCTTTCGATTGCTTTGGACAAGAGTACATTTGTCTTAATTTTCCTCAGAAATCCATAGTGTGCACATTTAATACCATACTAAGACTTGAGGGAGTGTGATTCCTTGCCCCTTTCTAAGCACGCTATGAGATTTTCCTGATAAAGCCTGATTGTCTTGGTCTCTGCCAATCTCTCGAGGCAGGTGCTAGGGCAAAGGTGGCATTTCATAAGAATATCTGGTGTGATTGTAAATTAAAGCTTTATGCCATTTAATTGCGGTGTCGGAGAGGGGAGAGAAAAAGAGGTAGAGAAACTTGTCTCATCACCAAATGCAGAAATGAAATAGGAAACTATATGGCAGATCCTGAGCTTGTAGGAGTCTGTCATCTTTGCTGTGTTCTTAGACAGTCAGCAAGTTCTAAACTTCTTTTTCTTAAATCAAAAAACCCCTGCTTTCTGGAGGTGCTGAATACCTCTGAAAACTGGGACATGCGAATTTACAGTCTTTGCAGCTCAGTCGTGCAGGTAGTTTTCGTAGCCAAGTAAGAACAACTGTTGCAGTGGGAATGCGCGGCACTCACCCTTTTCTGCCCTTCTGTCAATCCTCAGCTTCAAAGACTAATTGAGATTACTTATGAAGATGTTTAAGATGGTGGTTTAGGTAGCTTATTAGACTCAGAAGAAATGTTAATAGTTTTCTAATTGCTTTAGTTATGTATTCTTGATGGAGGATATGTAGTGATGTGGAGACGTTGTAGTAGTGTCTCAGCTGCCAGATACAAACTATTTTTATTCTGATCTTCAGATATTATAGCCATTATGTGTAGTATTAGCAAGTAAAACCACTTTGTCCTGAAAAGTGGTCCCTATACCCCATCCTCTTTAACATTAAGAGCAGACTTTTTAAATGGAAAAATTGAATTCTTGCACTAATTGCCATTTATATGAATTCAAAATACGTTTTTGTTTGTCAGGAATGTGTTTCTTGTAGAGTAGTTTAATTTTGCCCTGTTAGAGGCAGAAGTGAATTTTAGAGGTAACAAGGGATCTGACTGGCACATGGCAAAATCCTCAGCAGCGTGTTTAGGTTAAAGTTTATCCCCTTTAAGTAACTGAAGCCTGGTGAGTGGCACTGCTCATACTGCCACAGTGTGTTTCCAGAAGTTTGTTGTAGACTTTCTCTATACTTCCAGTTAATTTGATTACCTGGGCCTGTTACTGCATGGTTTTCTCTTATTGTTATCAGCATTGTCCCAGGTTTCAAGCAAATCTGGCAGTCTTCATTGAGTACCATCTGTTCTTTGGTGTTTACCTGTGATGTGAGTTGAGTGGGTGTTATCAGTGGCCATGTATTTGACTTGAGCTGAGCACAGATTTTGAAGTGTGCTCTAAGTGGAATTATCATTTGTAAAGTACAGTTGGTTCTTCAACCACATACAATAGATAAATTATTAAGTAATTACATACTGCAAAAACACTTCAGCGACCAGAAAATCCTCCTTTGGATTGGAACAGGCTATTGTGCAAAAGAGTCTGGCAGATAAAATCTGTTTATATGGAAGACTCAACATATCCTTTACAGTAAAGTTTACTGGGGGTTTCATTGTGCTGCCTGACATTTCTGCAGATAAGTGAGATGTTGTTTAGGATAACACAAATGTGAGAGGAGCCACAGCCCCCTCTTACAGCATAAGGCAAACTTCAGTAGCATTTATAAAAAAAAAAAAACCAACACAAAAAAAAAAAAACAAAAAAACCAAAACTTTTTGTTTATGTTTGTTTCATTTACCAGCTGCTTTTTGACTGTGCAAGAGATACAAGTATCTGTGTGCTTTTTCCTTTTAAAGATGTCTTTAATGAAATGTTAACATGCCACCTAAAGGAGATCAAAGTGCCTGCAAATTTTATGTTAGTTGCAGGGATGCTTCTATAGTTCTAGCAATGTTTTTTTTCTCGATATTTTCCATCTTTTCAGCACGAAGCTAAAATACTTTTTTCCCCATGTCTGTCTCTCTCTCTTAACAGAACTTTCTGCAGAAGCCAAAGCAGCATTACTTGAATTTGAAGAGAGGGAAAGGCAGCTTAAACAGGGACGGTACGGCTCAAGGAGAGGTGGGCGAAGAGGAGGCTCAGTTATGTGCCACGGAATGGGAGAACAAAGGAGAGACAATAATGATAGGGGAAGAATGAAGGATCACAGGCCTGCGCTGCTGCCAAACCAGCCATCGACAATGGTACCTTTTAATCCTTAGTATTCTTTGAACGTACTTTCAGGAAATTATGGAGAAATACACTCTAAATGGTGAATCTTTATGAAGGTGGAGTATTTATTCCAACGTACACTTTTTGCTCTTTCAGGGCACTGTTAGGCAAGATGGGCTTTGCGTAACGTGGTGATTGTGAAAGTATGTGCTTAGTCCTGTTACCAGCTTCAACTTGAGGAATCTCAAGGCCTCCAAATGAAAAGTGGATTTCGACTCATACAATGCCATCAGGCTTACTTACTGGTTTGCATAAGGATGGCAGAGAAAGTTAATACCTCTGAGAAGTTCTCTATATGCAACATGGAAACATGTTCAGTCCCACATTATCAGTTGTAATTTAGTTAAAAAAAATACGAGTCTGTAAAATATTTCTTGTTTTTTGTCAAACTAATATTTTTGCTGATACTTCTAAAAAAATCTGTTTGTATATCTACCATGCTACTATGGAGGCGAATAAAACCCTTGAAAGGTAATCACCACTAGATAAATCAGTATCTTGGGATTTCAGATCAAATTTACCTTTGTTACTCTTTTTTCCTCCCGTGCTTTGTATCACAAACTGTAAGACGTTACTTTTTCCGTCAAAAAAACCCAAAAAACCAGCAAATGTGTGATCATGAGGTAGCCCACACTTACTTTTGTTAACTGCCCTAAAATGTACTGGAAGCTGAGATTGTAGAGCAAAGCCTGTGTATGTCTCTGCAGGACAAGGTCATCTGTATTAAACAAAAGGGATTTTTTCCAACAGCAGTAACCCTAGGTGCTGATCACTAGCAGGAGTCAGTGGATATCTCAGCGGTTGAGAGCCTTGCAGTAGAATATTTTGTGCTTTTAAAACAGTGGAGGTGGAATAATTTTTTTCCTGTATTGCTGCAGTCTTTGCTAGTTATTTTGATCTTAAATGTTGTAAACATATTGTGCTCATCACAGTATCTTCTTGTGCATACTTTGTAGCTGCTTTGCTTTATGGATATGGCTGCTGAAAAAAATGATGTGTCACATCTTTGTTACTAAAAAGTTGCCTGTTTGGGACTCTTCTTGCACTGCCATTTGGAAGTTACTGGCCTAGGACTGATATCTAGTATCAGTGAGTTCAGAAGCAGAAGAATGTCTCTGAAGAGAAACATGACGCTAATTTTTCTTTAATTATAACCGATTTTGGCCATTTGTGTTTGAGAGTGAGCAGCAAGAGACTTTCTTCTGTGTTATGAAAGGTACCTTTGAAAGGTATCTTTAAAGTAGTTTTTTCTTCAAGCAGTATGGATAGGTGGGCTGCAATGATATCTTAAAATACAAATTAAGCTAGATTCTTGACTTTTGTTGCTACTGTTAGGTCTGTTTTCTCAGAGAGGCTCTTCTAGACGTGAGACAAGAGTTAATGGATTTGTTTTGATACTAGGACTCAGATTTCTAGTGATCGTCACATATACCTTATTGCAGTTGATGACAATTTCCAGTGACATATGCAGAACCCTACATATGAAATTAGACAGTTCTACTGTTAAAAAGTGAATGAATGTCTGAATTCCCTGTGTGCTTCCTTGCTCTTTGCCATCCTCTCCTTCATATGAATGTCTTCAATTGTTCCTTTGCTTTCCTGTCCTGCTGGTTCTTACCAGTTCCAGTTGATGATATGGAAAGAAGTTTTTCTGTTCATGTTTGGCCTTAATTGTTCTCCAAAGGTGTCTTGGTTTTGTGCTGGTTTATGTCAGGATATTTTAACTTTAAAGCCTATTGACTTTATTCTTTTGTCTGACTTTAGACTCATTCACAGAGGTTAATTCCAACACACCAGCAACCTGTTAGGAGTCTGTTCCAGCAACAACAACAACAGCAGCAGCAGCAACAGCAGCAGCAACAGCAGCAGCAACAACAGCAGCAGCAGCAACAGTTACAATCTCTGCTTCCTTTACAGCATCAGCATCATTCTTCTCCTCCTCCAGGGCTACATATGCCCCCTCAGATAGAAACGCCTAGAATAATGATGACTCCACCTCCAGTGACACCTCAGCAACCGAAGAACATACACATAAATCCGCATTTCAAGGGGACAGTAGTGACGCCTGTACAAGGTGAGCTTTCTGAACACCTTCCTAGTCATGCGAGCATGACTCATCTTACTCTTTGCCAGGGATGCAATAATTTGTTTGTTTATCGCTTCATGGAAATGTGCTTCAGGCTGATTTTTTTTTTTTCCTTAAGCTTGAAAGAAATGTTTTGCCTAAAGTAAGACATAATGTCAGACTGTGGCCAGCTGAAATAGTAAAGCCTTTTCAACTTCTTTATCGTCTTTGTTACTCAACTGTAAAGCCTGCGAAGAGCAGTAAAAATGGAAACTGAAAAGAGAATGTGCTTTTTAAAAGTAGCAAATGTCAGTTTTCAAAACTAGGTAAGTACTGCAGTTTATAATTTCCCACATCATTCCAGCTTCAGCCAAGCATTCACAGGATGACCACCCACCTATTTCAGTGAGAGTACACTGAGGCACTCCTTGCGCTGTAATTGCTCTGTGAAAGGTACCAGCTGCTATCCTTACTTGACAAGATACATGCCCTCAGTTCTCCTTTCAGTGCCACATTTGTGATTGTTTGATTCGCGGCCTGCAAGTACACTTTTTCCGTAACTTAACACAAGCACTCCTTGGGCTACACTTTTTAGGGCAGCTCTCAGAATGAGCTGTTAACGTTACTACTTATTTGGAAAGTGTTTAATCCCTAAGAGGACAAAAAAAAAAAAGACACCTATATAGCTCTGATTTGTGATTCTGTTGCTACTAGACAAAGTAAAGAAATACATATATATTTATACATATTTATTTATATATATGTATATATTTATATATTAATTTATATATATTTGTATATATACTTATATATTTATACATATTTAGCATTAGGTTGTCTGTATTTTTCCCCCCTTCAAATCAGCAGAACTCAAAGCTATCTTTGCTTCATTTATTTGACCAATGAAAGGTAGGAATTTGGCAGGGTAGGATATTGCCAATTGATAGAGATCTATTAGGCTTCTCACAGATGGCTTCATAGTAGCTGCATTGTAGAGATTATTTCACTTTTTCCTGTCTAATAAAATCAGTGCTTCCCACCAAATTATGCATCAGGACAGATTATCTGGAACAGTCCAAAAGGTCCTTTAGTCTTGGATTTATGCCTTCTGTGCATTTTCCTAACATGTCCGAAGCAACAGTTCTTGTTTTGTGAAAAGAAAAAATTGGTTTTAGACTATTCTAGATGTCTCTCCTCTCTCCCCCCATGAAACAGTCAACAAATTGTCTGCATCTAGGTTGAACAAGTTTCCTCCTAATGCCAGCAATGGCTACTGAGGATTTTGGGTTTTGCCTAATGTCAAAAGTATACCAGTGTGTCTTCTTTCTTTTGTCTGAGGTTTTTCACGTTATCAGGTGGCTTCAGGCTTGTCTCAGCCTTACCACTGCATCTGTGGTACTGTGGGTATCCCAGGGGCCTTGCTTTTTCTTGAGTGTAGTCTTTTTTTTCTGTCTTTACTTGCAGATCCTGATTTTAACAAAGTTGTGTACCTCTTGCATGTTAGGAGATCTTCAATATTGGATTTGTAGTCTTTTTTGTAGATCTTACACCTGCTGACTTTGTGTGCACATTCATTTCTTGACTGGTAAAAGTCTAGTTGTCTTCTCAGAATGAGCAGCCCCGGAGAATGGGGCTATTTTTGAATGGTGTAAGACCTGTATTTCAGTGAGGAAAATCTTTGCTATGTGTTTTGATGGCGGCTGGTTCATATGAAATACCTTTGTGCTGTCCATTTTACTGAAGGAATCCTCGGCAAGACTACTGAATATTTCTGCTAATAGGTGTGCAGCGTACTATTAAATGCAATCTTTTAAATCACTGTAGAATTTTAATTTTCTTGATTAGAGCTGAGTCTTCTGCAGTGGCTGAGTAGTGGCCATCTCAGTCTCTTAGTCTGCAGCAGTACAATTTGTTACATGAAAGTACAAATTTGCACACCTAAGGAAAATGTGCAGGAAACCAGTAGTCTTTTTCAGGGAAGATGAGCATAATTCTAAAATCTTCAATGGCATTTGCATATTAAGATGAATTTTTAAGCAGTCACTGCAGGCAAATGGTAGACAGAAATTCTAGTGTAGGGAGAGCTGTTCTAAACTTCCTCTTAAAAAGTCCTCCTCGGTTTAATTTGTCTGCTTGAGGCCCCAGTAAGCAGAGACTGGTAGTTGACAATATTAGGATGTGTTTCACATGCAGCATCATTTATTTCAGGGTAACAGGAAGTATGAAAGATCAGATTGACTTAATGTTCTTGATGATGTCCTGCCCCTTCTTGGCTGAATGTATTTCCAGATATATGAGGGGTTTTACACATTGGAGAGTACAGTCAGACAGGTGCAAAGTTTATGGGGATTCTGTTGTTGAAAATGTGATGCCTGGAAGCTAAAAATGCCATGTCTGGAAGTGCATGATATGCACACTTAAGTTCTGGTAATTTAATGGTGTGCTGTCATGTTTTAGTGTAGACTGGCTTTTTTTTTCTCTCTAATTTTATGGCAGGATTAAGCTCACATACTTTTAATTGTCAGCACCAGGGACACTTTTTCTAACTGCAAATCATAGAAATATACTTTCTCAACATCTTTTTGGTTTGAGTTAGTCTTGAAATGCGTCGAGTGTATCAGTATTTTCTAAAATAGACTCAGACCTCCTGTAAATTGTTATGAAATTTTCATGTGAATAAAATAGCACGTATAAGAGCTCTAGTAGCCAGCTACTTCAGCCTGAAAGTGAGTTGAAGCACTATTGAAGAATCCTATCATTGGCTTATTCCTTTGATGTCTCAAAGGCAAATCTCTTACAGTGGCCACCATCTCCCTGCCCAGCCTTGAATCTTGGTTCAAAAAAATAGTTACTTTCAAGTCAGTTTTGTTTCAAACAAATTTCTACTATTTTTAGTCTTTGAAGCTTCATAAATGATTAAGAAGGACTCAGTCTATCAAAACCCCTAAAACGGTTATGTGAGCCTCTGCGCATACCTGCTGCAGATACTGTTCAGTTGGCGTTCAGTTGTGCCTTTTGTGACATTTGAATCCCATGTCTTTTAGTTGCTTGCTTGTCATTATAGTTTTCTCTTTTCTTTGTGTCCTATTCTGTAAATCAGTTTTGAGTTGTAAGTAGTAATTTTTAGCTGAATGCATGTCCAAATTTGAGTATGATCAATTTACAAATGCTGGAGGACTGTACATAGATGTACTATGAAATACTAATTCAACCTGTGATAATAGGTATTGAGTTTTTTCCTTTTAATGTTTATACCACAAATAACTATTTCAAGGATACTGTGGTGCTGCCAAAATTGATATGAACTAACAAGCAGTTTATGGCAGCTCGGCCGATTAGTATGCCATTTACCTTTTAAAAACTGTTTGGTGTCTTCGGAAAAATGATGTTATAATTCTACTAAATAATCATTATGGGAATTGTTTCTTCATCTTTTCAGGTATAGCATTGGAATTTACGGCCAAAAGCAATTTAATCTTCTTAAAATAGTGTCTAACAACATGCTGTGTATTATTTTTGAAACATACTTATCAAACCTACAGAAGATTTGACATCAGGAAAATGAATGCTTATTTGAGACTTCTTTGCTGCTTCAGCAAGTGTCCAAGGATTGAAAGGGCACAGAGTTTGAACTACTGTCTTTCATGAGTATTAAATTCATTTGCTTAAAATATATAAATATATATAACTTTATATGCTACTGCCAGAGGCAGGATACCGAAATAGACACAAGTGCCCTGTTCAGTTGACATTTCTCTACATTTCCCACCTTATGCAATTTTTCTCAGTGCTTCTCTGACCTCTAATACCTGAGCTATTTTAGTCCTAGGTCTGTCAAGAGCACCCTGTCAATTTTTTCCAGGTGGCCATGGCTGTTTGATATTGACAGATGTTCATTAGAAGCCAAGATAAGACTATCCAACTAGTTTTCTCGTGTAACCTGATACAAAGTTTGCACGCAGTCCTTCCTTGCTGAAAGACTGGTTCAATTAGTTTACCCTGTCAGTCCCTGAACTAGTAAACCACAAGTACTTAAGAAAAGTGGATAGAAGCCAGACATGGACATGAACTAAGAATAATTACTAATGCATTAGTTCTTGTGCCTCAGTTACCAAGGAAAAAGGGAATTTTGAGGCGTCTTATCAAACTCGATGTTGGGAAATGCAGCTAATTTAAGGGAGGAGTTGGGTGTGTTTCTTAACATCTTTCCTGCTCTGAAGTGTAATACAGTAGTTGTCTACAAAGTTGATATTTAACCCTGTCACTTTCAGAAATGCTAAAAACATTGAAGAAAAATAAATTTACTAAAAGTTTTTAGTAAATGAGCAAACACGTTCAGTGCTGTTTGATTGAAGTGCTTTAAACTTCTCTAGGCCTTCTGTTTAACATTGAACATTTGTACTTCTAACACTTAAAGAACTCAACGAGGAAAAAAACTGCACTGGAAAATGAGAAATGTGTCATTGCACTTTGTACTGGGGATTCAAATAAAGATTCAGTCCCCAAGGTGATCAGCAGTAGATACTTTGTGCGTTATGCCATAATACTAAGTGAATGTTTCGGGATTTTTTTTTTTTGTGACTAGTCTTTTGAAATGCAGTTATATGGACAAGTCATCCAGGTTAATGCCCCTGAAATCCTAATTTTGGAGGTTATTTTTCAGGAGGAGTGTCTCCTATTTCTTCTTGGTGTCTCTGTGAAATAGTAGTCTTTCTTTCAGCACAGTGATCACAGTTGCATATACCATTACTGTGGCAAGGCCAGGTTAAGTAGTTTTTGCTTGCTGTTAATTGCCACTGTCTGCCTCATTTTACCCTCCTATGAACAGTGATTTATACCAGATAGAGCCTCCCATGCCCATGCTTGTGGGAGGTTGGTGGTGAGACTGGGAGATAACCTAGGAAATCTTGAGAGGCATGAAGTTGAGAAGGCAAATTAATCATGTATCCTTCTATTTGAAACATGAAATTACGTTACGAGTCTCTGTCAGCTTTGTCTAGGAGACGTCTTTGGCTGAATAAGTATTCTAGTTTTCCTTCCTGCAACAAGGAGCAATTTAATTCTGGAAAATGCAGAATTAAATTATGTAGATTAACTAGGAGAATCCTAATTGCCCTGTTGCATGTTGCGGGGGAGGGAATGGTTGCTTAAAGTTAATTGTAGGAACTGTGACGTGTGAGGGTAAATGTAGCAGATTTTAATCATGGCTTCTTATTGCAACCGCTTTTGGAAATAACAGCAACAACTGTTAGGTAAAACAAACGGTGTTAAAAGGTGCTTCTTGTTTCAGTGCCCTTGCTGCCAGTTCCAGCCCAGCCAAGACCTGCTGTAGGACCCCAGAGATTTCCTGTGAGTAGCAGCTGTTTCTTCTTCTCTGATATGGATAAGCATACATTTGCAAGGAAATATTAATATAGCAAATAAAAGCTGTTCTAGGGAAATATAATTTTAAGGATTTGTAAATATTGACAGTACACTCTGCAGTTGAAAATGTTTGTTAAAAGCTTAAGGTCAATGGATTTTTGAGAGTAGAATTAATTCTGTTTAACTGTAAAATTGTTGAACCAGTCTCTCCAGTGGGAGAGGCGTGAATGCATCTTGTCTTAAGGAGTATGGGCTTCATTTTATTACTTGACTCTCTGTATAAATAGAATCCTTATTTTATTTGATATAATAAAAGGCTATTTGAAATAATCCCTAAGCTTAAAAAGCAGTATATATATTTTTATTGTAAAAATCAGCAAAATCTCATTTTTATCATTAATTCAGGCATTTAAATGCCTTCATGTTTTTATATAAAAAATGGGAATGGCATTGCATGGCCTTGCCTTCTCATATGTTTCTAACTTCCAAAACAAACAAGGCACCTAGCTGCTCCACTAGGCTGATTGCACTTGATAATTTTTTTTTTAGCTCTGTGAATGGAGAGAGTGCATACTTCTAGACCTTTTCTCATCATTTCAGTTTTGTTTTCATAAATTTTTAGTTCAAATGGTTTGCAGAGTATCAAAATAAACAAAAGAATAAATAATTTGTGCAATATTGCCGTAAATATTTTCAAATAAAGACCCATATATTATGTTTCCCAAATATATAAAACACACAAAAATTATCCTCTGTTAATGTGTGCAGTGTTGAAGGAGGATAGTAGATGTTTGTGAACATCTGTGTAGCATCACACAGTGAATTACTTGCATAGAGATCAGATGTATTTGAAAGAAGCAGGTTTCAGAAACCTTCTGTGACTTTTGACTACCATGTGCATACCTGGTTGGTTTTGACGCAGAATATTTTTTGTACAGGACATCTAGCTGAGGAATTGTGATGTCCGTATTTTGTACAGTAACTGAGTTTTTAAATTGCCATGTTTCTTCTGTGAAGTATAAAAAGGTTAAGCAGTAAAATCACAGTTTCATTAAGTAAACTCATGTTACAGAATGTCATCATCAACACTATAACTGGAGATATTTTTCTGTTAAAAATACTGCAGTTTTCAGAGGAAATAGTTTTCTTCAGCAGCCTTTAGTATTACGTGGAGACCTTATTAACATTTTAAAAGTAATTCTAATTTTTTATGGAAACAAGTATCTCGCATTTGTTTTCCTTTGACACTAAGTTGCTTTGCCAACAAACACAATTTGGGATGGAAAAGAAATTGGGAGGACAAGGAATATCTGTAAAGGCATTGTAACTGACATCTTTGAAGTGTGTTTACATCAGTGTAGAAAAAATTGAAATTAATTTTTTTTAAATTGTGAAATTAAATTTTAATTCTGTTCACTTTTGGTTTTGCAAGTTGAGAAGTACTGCAAACCTAGCTAATCTTGCATGCAACAGTTTTTAAAAGGGAATAAAATAGGTTGAACATTTTTGGTAGGACTCTTGTTCCTTTTGCCTGAAGGAAAATACTTTACTGCTTGCTGCCTTTTTATGTAAGCAATGCGCTAGCAAAGAGTCAGTATAATTTGTTTTTCATAAAGAGGAGGGGGGCTAGCTTAACTAAGAGGATCCAGTACTGTGATTTGGTTGCCCTGAGTGTTTGGGGTTTTTTTTTTCTACTTCAGCTAGTAACCTGCTGTATGACCCTGAGAAAGTTACTTAATCTTTCCATGACTCACTGAGTTATAAAATGGGTATAATACGGACTTCCCTTATGAAGTACTTTATAAATTTTGCATAGGTTATCAGTCATGTTAGGATTAGGAATTAAGTGTCACTGTGTACATACCTCATGTTTGTTTTATTAGGTGTAGTATGTTAGCTCTTGTGCTGAAGACAAATTTACTTTGACTTGAACATTTTATCTTGCAGAACTACCTTTTTTGCTCTGTTACATGTCAAATGCCTTTGTGCCATTATAATTCACTTGTTTATGTATAAATGTTGACTTAGAGCAATATAGCAATGGTTAGACAACTTTGACAAGCCATTTGAAAAAGATCAAAGAAGTATTCCACACTGTAGTTCATTCATCCTTTTCCTCATTGTAGAAAGAATCTCTGGATATGTAATAACTTGAATTTGCTCTTGCTTTTAGGATTGCCTAATCAAAGGATAATGGTCAACTGATTTTTCCGATTGCTTTGTTTCTAAAAAAACTGTGGGGTTAGAATTAAATATTTGTAGCCTGCTTTCCCCTTTAAGTTTGAACTGGATGGTTTATTTTGATTGAATGTGGCAGAGGTGGAAACATTAATGGTAATGAAATTCTTGCAAGGGAGAGACCTAGAAGTGACTAGTGCCCTAACTGAAGGAAAAATTGCCTCCGAGTTCCTATCTTATCTGGGAGAGAAACCTCTCAGCACAGAGCGTCTGTGTGTGCTCCGAATGTGGGAAGAGCTTCAATAAGAGCTAATCAATTGCAAGTCGTAGATCCATTGGAAACCAGGTGTTATTAATTTAGGGCTAATGAAGTGACTTGTAACCATGTAATGGTTAATTCTTAGAGCCTTTTGTAGAAGGATGTACTTGAAGAGTTGAACAAAGTTGTAATGAGCACATTAGCATATTGGTGTGAGTTCTAAATTATAAGAAATGCTGTAGCACTAAATCAGGGTAATGTTGATCGGGATTGAACCTGCTTGGAGTTGGGACTGATTAAATTCACTTAACCGTGAATCTAAATCTTAATATTTCAGGATAGGGCTCATTGTTCAATTATTTCTTTCTTAAAGCTTAACTCCTGAAATGTTTAGAGAGAAAGTACTAGAAAGGACATAATGGAATGAATCCGTGTTCCCTACTTAGAGTTATTTTAACATTTACAGTAATCTTAAATCAAGCAAGGAAGTTGTCTATCTCTTATTCTGTAAGCGTTCGAGGTGACTTAGTGTGAATGATGTTTGAGAGCTATATTCAACTGATTAGGACTGAATAAATGGTGGATCTGAGGCATGTTACAGCTGAGAAACACGGTGAACTTGCAGTAACTGGGAGTTAAAGACCTGAGCTCTGCGAAGGCTCCTATGCTTGTCTAAATTGTACTCTTCAGGTGGCTGTAGTTGATAGTAATCCAATCTTCAAGCATAGTCGATGCTAGTATTTTTCCAGGTATTTGAATTAACCTGGAACTGTGCAAGTGCTAACTGCGTGTTTTCTTTAAACTGTTTTAAAGAACAGATTAAGCTAACCTCTTTGGCAGAGTCCTTCTGAAGGTCTTGCTTTATCATCTGCCTTTGCTTTAAAGTGGTTAAGATGCTTTTTTCTGAGTTCCTGTCTCAGTGTCACAGTTGGTATTTGACAAATAACAGTCTACTTCGGGGGCTGAAGGAAGGTGACAGAAGACTTTATTCATAAACTAGTTGTATGGGTCTTCTGAACTTTTCACATGTTTTCTGACCAAATTACTAATTCTTGTGGGTGCCCCAGTGCAGGTATGGAGCCTGTGTTTTTTCTTGTTACACAAGAGGGACCACTGTGGTTCCTGTCCTCTGGTGTTTGTTATCTGGGCCAATTTCTCTTTCAACTCCTGCGTTCTGTGAAGAAGGATGGGGTAAAACAAGGGAAAAAGAAATTAAACAGAAAATGGAAGAGGTGTTTCTAAACACTTTATATGTAGGCTGCTGCTATTATAGAGGCCACATCATTACTTAATACAAAACTAGGAGCTAAGTTGATGGTCCAGATCTTTTCATCCCTTATGTGAATCCACCAGCACAGTCTGTGTCTGAAATATTTCAGACAATGTTTGCCTGAAGAAAAATTTATAAAATCTTTTTACTTAAAACATCATTTATTTCACTTAATGAATGCTGAAGTAATACTCGTGTGTGGCACGTGTGCAGATTTTTAAGGACATATCAAAGTGTAACAAGTGTTGTCGTGCCTACTTTGGGATGGCATGGCAGATGGAAGGTGTTTTCACTGTCAGTGTTCTTCAGCCAGAAATTGTGAGGTATCCCTAGCATCCAAATTTGGGGCTGGAGTGGGGCATTTGGAGTGAAGAGGAAGTTGGGGAGAACCTGCTTCACACTGCTCAAGGCAGAAGAGAGGAATTCCTCAGATCTGAGGCCATTCCCCCTCTGTCTCTGCCCTGGATCCTCCCCTGAAACTGCTGTAGAGAGAGCAGGGCCTGTTAACACAGCTGTGCATCTTTATCCAGGAGAATTTTCAGGAAATTGGGATAAATTCTGCTTTAACCTCTCTGCTTAACCTGACACCCTGGGTGTGGTGCGAGCTGGGCAGGCATCCATCCCACAGACACATTTTATTAACTTTAGTCAACTTGAGTTTCAGAGTTGCAGTTAGGAATAGTCTGAAGTGGCACAAAGCACAAGATGAACTGGCACTAGTGTCCGCCTGACTAATTTATGCCAGGAAGGCTGTGATACTTTTTAATGCACAAAGCTTTTCTTGTCTGATAGGACACCTTAGTGCACTGGATACCTTTCAGGTAACTGTTGAATTAAAGTCTGAAAAAGTTGAATTGTGTAACATAAATTATGTTTTATCCAGTATAAAAATAAGACTTTAATAGAGCAACTTGGCCTCAGGCCCTTGTGAATATTCTACATCGCATGTCTTTTCAGTTCCCAGGGGGTTTTGACGTGATTTGGTTTTGGAACTTACCTTACAATTTCCTTTCAAAATCATCTTTATCCTAAAAAAATACTTGATTTTTTTTTTTTTCCCTTAACCTGAAAAAACCTCAGTAAACTTTCTTTATATTCCCATTCAACGTTTTTCCACTTGATCTCCAGGACATCAGGTGTTGTCTTAAATGGATGCTGTGAAAGGCAGTTGATTAGTCTTGATTCAGTTTTTCTCACCATACTGAAAGCTTTAGTTTGATGAATTCTGAGCTTTCAGGTGTTGTTTGAAATTCATACACTGCTTTTAAACTTCTTCAT